ATACAAAGTGAGTAAAGTGTAATTAATAAATAAAAAATAAAATAAAATAAAAATAAATAAATAATCAATAAAAATAAAAATAATTATAAAAAAGAATCAAAGTTTAGAGCTAAATGGTAATGAACTATGGTTACTAGTAAAAATAAATAAATAAATAAATTTTTTGTTACATGAATACACATACACAAACACACACACATATAATCAAGTAATGTAAATCCAACCTTCTCAGTCCATATAATGTTGTATGTATATATGTTTTCAGGACTGATCATTGGAAAACAATTGATATTCTCTACCTATTTTTAGCAGTCTTTAGTAGGTCTTTGTCTAGAGTTGAGGCCTTATGAGCTTTCTCTTTCCATTAGCATATCTATTGTGTTATCCTTGTTCAAGTGTTATTTAGGTAGCCATGTTGTTGAGACTTCATGGGTATATCTGCTTTGACATTCAAGGAGAGGAAATCTCACAGCTGACCTCCAATTTCATACTCCTTAATTATAATTCCCCCTCCCCAAATTGATCCCTAAGCCTTAAGTGCAAGAGTTGTGATTATATATGTGTCATTTGGGAGTAGGCTCCAAAACTTTGTATTTTGATTGATTATAGTTTTTGTAATGGTCTCCATCTGTTGCAAAGAGAAGTTTCCTTAATGAGGGATAAGGACAACACTTACGCGTGAGTATAAGGACAAATATTTAGAATGTAGCTGGTATTAGACTAGCTTAGTAAAGTGCTGGGTGTAGGTTCTCCTCCAAGATCTATGACTTTACTAGACTTGAGTAGTTGACCAGGTTTCTGGTATCAGGCATGATTTCCATCTTGTTGAACAGGTCTTAAATTTTAGAGAGCTGTTGGTTACTGCGAAGGTGTGCTAGGATAACCCTACTCATGCGATCCTTAGGGTTATCCTGACATGCTGGTCCTTTTTGTAGTTCATGGACATTATACCTGAGTAGTACTATAGGTTGCTTCCTTCCGTAGGATGGTTGCATGGTGCTTTCTTGTACCATGAAAACATATTTGGGAAAGAGGCTTTCATGTCAGATCCACCTAAGGTCCTCTGGGTCTTGTGTGTGAAATACATGGTGCCTTTATTGATGGAGTCTTACCTTTCACCTTTGGGTGGTAACTAAGGGCAGCAGCAAAAACCTCTAATGTTTTGGAAGTCTCATGGACAACTCAAAAGAGGGCTTCTCATGCCCAGTGTTTTGGGTTTTTTTTTCTTTTTTTTTTTTTTTTTTTGGATGGTCTGTGGCTCTTGGGGAAGCATTGTCAGCCCAGATGGGAATTTTTTATTTAAACTATATGTATTTATATAGAATTTTATGTGTGTTATAGATATTTTAGGTATATAGTTAGTAGTATGATTCTTTATGACTATTTCTGGTACCCTTACTATCATGGTAATATCCTCCCTCCTTCTTTTGTTTTTATCTTTCCTGTTCCCTAATTAAAGCCCCTCTTTTCTTCCTCAGATCACTTGTACCCTGCTAATCCCCTTTCTATTGCTTTTCTCCTTGTAACAGTATTTGTTGAAGTTATTTTTAGAAAATTTTGTTGGTTTCTACAGTACCTCTCTTAACCTGACTATAACCCAAATAATTGAGGCTCTATTATATTATTTTAGTAAGCTTCACAACAGAATAACTGAGCAGTTATTACCTTATTCTTAACCCTATAAGCTCATCTGGTTTCCTCTTTGCCAGAATCCCTGAGATAATTGCACTTTTTGGATTCTCCCGCCCCCGCTCCTCTCCTGATGTCCCCTGGACCTCTGTCCATGGCTGAATCTTTCTTCTTCTAACTCCTCTTCCCCTGGCTGGCAGGAAGTCCAGCCCTATTCCCTCCACTGCTCAGTGAATGGCTTTAAACTGCCTTAATGGCATATCAGGAGACAATTGGGGAGCAGTGTTCATACAACATTGAGATAGGATATTCTCAGAACTAGGATGACAACCAGGTTTTGGGAGGGTCCATAAATCAGCATTTATTTACACAATAACCTTATACCCACACATATATATTTTTTTTAACTTTCCTGGTTTCTGCTATTACTCTAGATTATGTACTTATATCTGAAGATTTGGAGCTAGAAACCTCAGACAAGCGAGAATGTGACATTTGTCTTTTGGGGTTTTGGGTTATATCACTCAATATGATCTTTTCTGGCAAATTTCACCTTTTTTTTAAAAAAAAAACAGTTGAATAGTATCCATTGTAAATATGTGCCATGTTTTCATTATCAATTTATTAGTTTAATGACATTAAATTTTCATTTCCTAGTTGTTGTAAATAGAGCAGCAATGAACATGGCTGAGTAAGTATCTATGGTACTGATGCTGAGTTCTATGTGCTGAGGAGTGCTATAGCTGGGCCATATGGTAGGTTAAATTTTTTAGCTTTTTGACGGTTCTGTACACTGATTTCCCAAGTTGGTTAGACCAGTTTGCAATCCTTCCAACAATGATTGACGGTTCCCCTTCCCCCACATCCTACCCATTTTTTGCTGTCAGTTGTGATCTTTGCCATTATTATTGCGGTAAGATGAAATTGACATATGGGAAGAGATTTTTTTTATGTCCTTGTTGTTTTCTTTTTGTTATAGAATTTTCTTATTCTTATTCTTATTTACAATTTATTCACTTTGTATTCCAGTTGTACCCCCTCCCTCATCTCCTCCCTGTTTCACCCTCCATCCCTCTCCTTTCCCTATCCTTCTTTCCTAGTTCACTGGTAGGGGAGGTCCTCCTCCCCTACTGTCTGACCCTAGCCTATCAGGTCCCATCAGGACTGCTTGGATCCTCTTCCCCTGTGGGCTGGCTAGGTCACTCCACCAAGGAGTAGTGATCAAGGAGCAGGCAACCTAGTTCATGTCAGAGACTGTCTCTTCTCCCTTTACTAGGGAACCCACCTGAAGACTGATCTGTCTATGTGCTACATTTGAACAGGGGGTCTAGGTCCTCTATATGTATGGTATTTGTTGCCCTTTTGTTTTCTATGTGTTCTTTTCTTGACTCTATAAACTGAGTTCCTAGAGATAGCCCTTTTGTAGGGCCTTCTATAATGAAATTTGTTTTGTTGGAAGTTTAATTTAATATTTCTAGGTTATACAAATCTACATGTTTTTTGATTTACAATACATGTTGAAAATAATAGAAGACTAAATCCTATCTCACTGAACATTGTCATTTAGCAACAAACACCTTGGTGTAGGGGTTGCATTGTAGTTATAGTAATTGGGGCTCAGCACCTCACAGTCACTTATTTTCAATAGTCTTTCCCCCTCTCTCCTCCCTCTCTCTCCATCTATCTATCTATCTATCTATCTATCTATCTATCTATCTATCTATCTTTCGAAATTGATGATTTGACATTTGTCATTAGGTTTGTAAAATTCTTAGTTATTCTATTCTCTTTTTTTAGCCTTTATCATCTCTTTTGTTTTTCTTCCTGTTTCTTTCTCTTTTTCTTTCAGTACTGGGACTTGAACTTAAGGCCTCACACATGCAATAAAGAACACTCTGCTATTGAGTTATATCCAACAATGTCTTTTTTATTTTTCCTTTTTGTCTTTTATTTTATTGTGGTCTTATCACATGCATATTATACCTTTCATAGCTTTAGATTCTGTTTTCACTTTTTCATCCTTTTTTGTTCGTATTTCCATTTTAGAAGTACCTATTGGCATTTCTTCAGACTCACTGATATTTCCATCAGCTGTGTTCCATTCTTAAAGCTAATCTTCCTTCCCATTACTGTGTTTTGATTTTAGCATGTTTTTATGCTTCCTTGGATTTTGTATCTGTTCTATTTGATCCATCTCTCTTTTTATGTTGTCCACTTTTGTGTATTATAGCCCTTAATATTAATCACAGCTGTTTCAAATTACTGAGTTTGTATTTCTAAAATCTCCCTATCAAAATGTGGTTCTTACGTTTCTTCTTCATCTTTAAACTGTATTTTCTGACTTTTTGTAAGCTATACATGATGTAATAGTTAAAAATAATGAAGATCTACATATCTTTAGTATGAAAATTTTAGTAGTAAAAATTTAGTATGAAAAGTTTACAGTTTTTTGTTTTTTTTTTTTAATCTTTTATTTTTTTTATTAATTACACTTTATTCATTTTGTATCCCTCCATGAGCCCCTCCCTCCTCCCCTGCCGATCCCACCCTCCCTCCCCTTTCTGCATGCATGCCACTCCCCAAGTCCACTGATAGGGAAGGTCCTCCTCTCCTTCTTTCTGATCTTAGTCTATCAGTTCTCATCAAAAGTGGCTGCATTGTCCTCTACTGTGGCCTGGTAAGGCTGCTCCCCCCTCAGGGGGAAGTGATCAACGAGCAGGCCAATCAGATTATGTCACTCATATAAACATACAATATACAATAAACCCACTAAAAGCTGTACATCTAAACAAACTAAGCAAAAGAGAGGACCCTAACTAAAATGTTCAATCCCCATCCTGAAAGGCAAAGAGGATGGACATCAGAAGAAAACGTAAATAGGAAACAACCTAGGAACCCGCTACAGAGGGCCTCTGAAAGCCAGAAGAAAACAGGAAACAACCTTGAAACCTGCCACAGAAGTTTACAGTTTTGACTGTGCTCTATCATTGGTTTACCACAGATGCTTTGTGAATAGTTTTGTTCTTTTAGACGGAGTGGGTACTGTTAGTATGATGAAGGCTTATTGATGTGGTGGTCAGGTGTCATGGGAAGAAGTGTTCCAGAGCCCATGTGATTCTTTGTCTTCAAGTATACTGTACCCCTGGCCTGTGACCATTCTCCCTGGTCTGTGACCTTTCTCAGTGTCAGTTTATTTTTGATGTCCCATTTAAGGAGAGACAGACTGGGTGTAGAGCTGAATGTTTTCTTCAACTACCCAGTTCATCCAGATTGTGGTAAAACTGTAGTAGTTAAGAGTATGGCAAAATAGTTTCTGTTAAACTCCCAAAATTCTGGGCACATAGCTACTTTTCTTTTACCTTTAATAAAAGCATGAATTCATGGGAAAATTTTTCTCAGATGTTTACTCTGGAAAAAAACGGCAGCATTCTTAAGGTAAAACTAAGGGGAATCCAAACTCACAGGGTTTCCTGGTAGTATTAGGCCATTAGGTTGTTTTTGATTCTGCAACTCATACATATTGGGTCTTAGCAATTTTTTTTCATTTACAGATTAAGTTTTTCTGTGTTGGTACTGGTTTCCATGGTGTTTCTTCTCTTGAGCTTCTGCCAGAAAGTGCTGACTCTGTAGCAGGCTGTTTGTCTTCACAGTTTGACAGCAGAGTTTTCTTCACAATCTCAGAAACTCTGATAATCTACAAAGTTGTTCAGTTCCTTCAACATTTTTTCATCATAGCGTGTCTAGAAGTGATGGCTTTCAAATTTCTTGCATACTGGGCCAGAGTACAAGAGGAATTTTGAAAACAGATTAGATTTCTTTTTGTAAAGCTTTGGTCTCTTTTGTTTGTTTGTTTGTTTTTTATTCAAGTACAAATTTAAAATCTTTATTGTGTAGTTTATGGAGCATCAGTTTCTTACATGTGAGTAAACCTGAAAATCCTCTCATTTCACCTGCTTTTTTTTCTCTAAAATTTTTTTGCCTCCTAACACATTATTTTTTATTTTTTTAAATTTTTATTAATTACACTTTATTTACTTTATATCCCCCATAAACTCCTCTCTCCTCCCGTCCCAATCCCACCTTTCCTCCCCCTTCTCCATGCATGCCCCTCCCCAAGTCCACTGATAGGAGAGGTCTTCCTCTCCTTCCTTCTGATCCTAGTCTATCAGATCTCATCAGGAGTGGCTGCATTGTCATCTTCTGTGGCCTGGTAAGGCTGCTCTCCCCTCAGGGGGAGGTGATCAAAGAGTAGGCCAATCAGTTCATGTCAGAGGCAGTCCCTTTCCCATTACTATGGAACCCACTTGGACACTGAACTGCCATGGGCTACATCTGTACAGGGGTTCTAGGTTATCTCCATGCATGGTACTTGGTTGGAGTATGAGTCTCTGGAAAGTCCCCTGTGCTCAGATTTTTTGGTTCTGTTGCTCTCCTTGTGGAGCTCCTGTCTTCTCCAGATCTTACTACTTCCCACTTCTTTCATAAGATTCCATGCACTCTGCCCAACATTTGGCCATCAGGCTCAGCATCAGCTTTGATAGTCTGCAAGGCAGAGCCTTTCAGAGGCCCTCTGTGGGAGGCTCCTAACTTGTTTCCTGTTTTCTTCTAATTCTGATGTCCATCCTCTTTGCCTTTCTGAATGGGGATTGAGCATTTTAACCAGAGTCCTCCCTCTTCATTAGTTTCTTTAGGTGTACAGATTTTAGCTTTGGTCTTTTGAAAATTTATTAGAGTAACCATCCTCTAATACACTTCATTTTAAAAAGAAAGTAACAGGTAAAATCTGTTGGAAGATTAACTTTTTTGTTTTTGTTTTTTTCTTAGATCCAAAATGTCCAGGGGATGTCGATTTTCATACTAGTGACTGGGACATTAAGACAATCACAAGCTCCTTAAAATTCTACCTCAGGTATGCTCTACTTGAATTGGGATTTTTCTTTTAATAATTGGTGAAATTTATCTCACTAGAGATTGGAGTATAGTCCTAGATTCAGAAAGTTAGAAAATGTTGCGAAATAAAAGAACAGAGTAAAGAGAATTTTTTTTTTTCTGTTTAAGAAGGCATATGAACTGCTTTTGTTTGCTTCTCTGTCTTTGAGTCAGGAACTAAGTATATAGCCCAGGCTGGACTGGAAGTTGATAAAATCTTCTTGCCTCAGCCTGCTGAATGGTAAAATTATAAACATGTGCAACCATATGAAGCTCTAGAAAACATATTTTAATATAGATGATTTAATATAGAAAGTATCAACTAGAGGAAAATTCTTAATATAGGTTTCTAAAGTAAAATTTGTACATAATGAAATGTAAATGATTGGATGTTTAGGTATTTACGAGAACTGCTTCAATTTGCTTGCAAACAAATGCATGAAAATAAAATTTAATGACAGATAAAAGACTACAAAAGTGCATATGATAAAGCAATTGTGCAGTTTAAAATAACAGAATATGATTGAGTATACAATTCTCTACAAAGTTCCATCAGAATGTCTGTAACTCTGTAATATCATAATATAATTTTGAGGAAGATTCGCTATTTTGTACACTGACAGAAGAGTGGAAAGTTAATATCACTCTGGAACATTTAAAAATATGTGATAATATGTCTCTACAAATATTAAAAGCTTTCTTTTACCTCAACGCAAAAAATACAGAAAGCATGAAGATTAGATTTGTTACTGAAAAAATATTTAAAAAAATACACTATGCTTTGAAACTATCATCTTGTAGATATAAGTCCTAGGGGTAGAATTCTTGCCCCAGTGAGAGAAAGAGAAATAAAACAAGGCTATACTGTGCTGTCATGTTTTAACACATATAATGGAAATATAAAAGAAAATAAAATGTTGGAGATAAATGAAGTGAAATCACTAACTAAAAAGATTAACTTAATAACAAACTGTGGGGATACACAGTGCTGAGAAAATTAATATTGTATTTATTGGCATAAGTACATATTATTTAAAATATGTTTGAATATGTATATACATGTATGTATTTAAATTGAAAACTATAGATAGCTTATATATATAGTATATAATATATATATATAGTATATTATATATAATCTCTATTAATTTTTTGAGACAAAGTTTCACTTTGTAGGCTGGCCTGAAACTTCCTACATAGACCAGTCTGGCCTCTTACTCATAGAGATCCACCTGCCTCTGCCTCTGGACTGCTGGAGTTAAAGGCGTGTGTTACCACAGATGGTGCTCCCTTCAGTTGTTTATTTCCATTCTTTATTCCCTGAAGTGTACACTATAGTTTCAGGACCAAGTGTTTTCTATTCAACTTTTGTGATCATTTAGCATTAAGAGAGATATTTAAACTCTCAGTATTATGAACAGTTGGGTTATGATATTGCTGTGGAACGATCTTCCACTATACCATTATCTTAATGTAGTTCTAGCATCATATAACTATGAATGCGCTTTTCGTTTTTACTCACTTTTTGTTAACTAATTTATTTAACTACTTTACAGCCTGATCACAGACCCTTCCCTTCTCTCCGCCCCGCCCCAAGTACCTTCCTTTCTTTCTTTCAAAGAAAGGAAATGCTGTTGGAGGGCTTTTTGTGTGCTAGGTAGACAGTGTGTGAACTGCTTAAATTGACACTTGCATTGATATTTTTATACCAATATTGTGTACCACAGGCAGTGCAATACTCTTTTTTACTGATGTGAAAACTGAGGTTTCTGCTTTTCCAATAAAGTATGCCTGTGATTGAAGCTGTTTTTGTTTTTGTTTTTTTTTTTTTTAACTTAAATCTATGAATTAAAAGGTTACTTGTCTTTGGTGTTCTTTTCCCCCAATCCCTGTTTTCAGTGGCCCATCTTTGTATTGCACTGCTAGTTTAATAAAAAAGAACAATCTCGTATGAATAATTTCCAAAGGCTTGGGAGAATGAGGGTAGTCGATACTAAGTGATGTACTGTCCATAGTCTCCTCGAAACGAGTCAGTATATTCACAAGGATGTGTTTCAAAGACTTTCTCCAATTTAAATCTTTTCTAACTCAAGTCTAAATCAGCAGAAGGGACAGTCAAGCCTGAAACTATGGGTAGGCAACACATTTAATAAGAGTTGAGCATCAGTGGGGGTTGTAATCTGTGCTAGGCTGATGTCACTATTTATTTATATTTAATTTTTGAGGAAGGAGAGTTCATTTTAGCTTGTATTTAGTCCATCATGGCAGGAAAGTAGCAGTAAGAGCATGAGGTCACACTGTATGTGCAGTCAAGATGCAAAGTGGATTTATTTTTATTTTTGTTTACATAAAACTTTGTATCAGGGACAAAAATGGTAAGAACAGTATGAGCATGGAATTCTTTCACTGGTTGTATATGAGCATTAAGGGAAAAGGTAATCTAGTTTGGGCTAACAGACAGAATAGGAACCAATAAAGTGAATTGCTAGACCATGGGGACATCTGGTTAGCCATGGAGAAATAATGTATTAAGAAATTAGATGTAGGACCCTTCTTTGGCCTTTCAGTGACAGGAGTGCAAGTCATGATGCTGTGCTGGGCTCTGCTCCGGGAAAGATGACAGACTGTCAGGAAAACAGCAAAACAAAGTTTTATGACATTTATGTTCAGTAGTTAATACCACTGAAAAAGAACCAAATCTAATTGCCAAAATGAATTTTGGCCATTTTATATGAAGATAAATATGTTTCATATAAAAATATTCATTTTCCATTTCTGTTGTAAAATGGAAATATCTGACTCCCTTGAGCCCACGTGCTTATTTGTAGAAGTAAATATGGCTGCTATTTGTAGAAAAATTAAGGCAATCTCATGCAAATGCTGGCTAAATATGATTCATGTGCAATATGAAAATTGTCTAGCCTCTGTAGATATTTGAGATTTTCAGCCCTCTAGTGTTGTACAAAGAGAAAGATGTCATGATAAGTTCCCAGAGAAGAAGACCCAGACAGGCCAAAGTGGTAGAGAAAAAAACAAAAACAAACAAACAAACAAACAAAAAAAACAAGTCAAGTGATTCATCAAAATCCAAGAGCTGTGTCTCAAGGAGGCTTGTCAGCAACCTCAAATACCACAAAGAAGTCAAATAAGGCAAATAATGGCAGTTGTTGTGTACAGTATTGAGACAGTCACTGCTGGGATTAGTACAGCTTCCTTGGAGCAGTTGGGGTGAATCAGATTGTAATGCATTAAAGAGTAAACCAGGAGATTCCAGGACTAAGAAGTAGAAATGTTATGTACATTACTTTCTATAGAAACCTGGCTGGAATATCTCATCTAATGATCCTGTCTAAGCTTCTGCCTCTATGGTTAGTGATTTCTCAACTTATTGGATCAGTGGAAGGATCAAATAGAACAGATGCAAAAGTGCTTTGGAAATTCTTCAGATCCTCTAACTTGTAAGCAAAAGGTCGCCTTTAAAATGTATCTGTTTTAGAACTGGCAGGACTGGTTTTCATTGCCTTTCTTACACTTCGGCTAGCTAACTGGAGAACTTGCTAGGAGCCCCAGCCTATATTTTTGCAGATCCTCTTCTAAACATGGATTCTATTGGTGAAGCTTCTATGAAATGTGTGTAATTAGTCTTAGTTGTGGAACCTTACTACTCAGAACTGAGACTCCAAGGCATAGTAAGTCCTCCCTGTAAAAGAGTGATCATCTCCATTCATTTCAGGAATCTTTCAGAACCTGTCATGACTTATAAGCTTCACAAAGAGCTCATCTCTGCTGCCAGTAAGTATCGGCCTTACTAGTTAAATTGTGTTGTCCTGGTTTCTTAGTAAGTTTATAGAAATAAGCTAGAAAACTGCTTTGAGGGAAACATTGACAAAATAAACCCAGCTTTTGCCCACTGCCAAATGGGAATATTTCTGCTTACAAACTTTCAGAGGTAAATGATTTTTATAACAAATATTAGTTGCATGGTTTCAAGAAAATGGTTAGTGTGAGACATTTGGTGTATGTTTCTGGGGTCTTTGGGTGATTGACTTTGGAAGGCAGCAGCCTTAGTACCTCACGCAAAGTTGTACGTGGGAAAATGGTTTCTTTCTTTCCATTCATTCATTCATCCATTCATTTTACAGCACGATCCCAGACACACACCCCTTTTTTTTCTCCTCCCAGTTCCTCCCCTCCTCTTCTCCCATAATTCTCTCCTTCCCTTCTCCTCATGGGTACCAACCCACCCTGGCACATTAAGTCTCAGCAGGGCCTGGCACATCCTCTCCCACTGAGGCCAGACAAAGAGTGCAGCTAGGAGAAAGGGATCCAAAGGTAGGCAACAGAGTCAAAGACAACTACCCCTACCCTCCTGCTTGAATTGTTAGGGAACCCACATGATGACTAAGCTACATAGAGCTACATATGTGTTGGGGGCCTAGTTCCATACCACGCATAATCTTTGGTTGGTTGTTCAGTCTCTGTGAGCCCCCATGGTCTGAGTCTGTGTATCTTCTTGTGCTGTCCTTGACCCCTCTGACTCCCTCAATCCTTTTCCCACTCTTCCACAAAGACTCCCATAGCTCAACCTATTGTTTGGCTTTGAGTCTCTGCATCTGTTTCTGTCAGCTGATAGATAAAGCATCTCAGAAGACAGTTATGCTATGCTCCTTTCTTCACAAATAGCAGAGTATCATTAACAGTGTTAGGGGTTGGCTGTCTCACATGGGGTGGCTATCTAGTGAGGCCAGTCATTGATTGGGCATTCCCTCAATCTCTGTTTCATCTTTATCCTTGTATATTTTGTAGGCAGGACAGATTTGGGTTACAGGTTTTATGGGTGGATTGGTGTCCCCCTCCCTCCACTGGAAGTCCTGCCTGATTACAGAAAGTGGCCACTTCAGACTTTATGTCACCACCCCCACCCCTCTGCTGCTAAGATTCTTAGCTGGGTAACTCCCATAGAGTCCCATGAGACTGCCCCATCCCAAGTCTCTTGCTCATCCCAAAGATACCCCCACTCAGACTTCCATTCTCTCTTCCAGTCCTCTCCCCCACCCCCTACTCTCCCCACACCTGATCCCCACCCCAGTTTCCCTCTCCATCCTCTTGCTCCACATCCTCCCTAGCATGTGTTGTCACTTGAGTTTTTTATTTTAGCCATTCTGAAAGGTGTAAGATGGAATCTGAGAGTTGTTTTGATTTTGCATTTATCTGATGCTTAAGGGTGCTGAACATTTTTTTAAGTGTGTCTCAGTCATTTGAGATTCGTCTGTTGAGAATTCTCTTTTTAGCTTTGTACCCCATTTTTATTAGTGTTATTTGGTTTGCTGGTATTTAATTTTGTGAATTCTTTATATATTTTGGATATTAACCCTCTGTCTGATTTAGGGTTGGGGAAGATCTTTTCCCAGTCTTTAGGCTGCTTTTTGTCTTATTGACTGTCCTTTGCCTTACAGAAGCTTTTCAGTTTCATGAGGTCCCATTTATTAATTGTTGATCTCAGTGCCTGAGCTGTTTGTTGTTCTGTTAAGGAAGTGTTTTCTATGCCAATGCATTCAAGGCTATTTCCCATTTTCTTTTCTATTACATTTAGTTTGTGTCCAGTTTTATGTTGAGATCTTTGATCCACTTGGACTTGAATGTTGTGCAGGGTGATAAATATGGATCTATTTGCATTCTTCTGCATGCAGACATCCAGTTAGACCAGCACCATTTGTTGAAGATTTTTTTCATTGTATAGTTTTGGCATGTCAAAAATCAAGTGTTCATAGGTGTGTGAGTTTATTTCTGGGTCTTCAGTTCAATTCCATTGTTCACCCTGCCTGTTTTTATGCCAATATCATGTGGTTTCTATTACTATTTCTCTGCAGTACAGTTTGAAATCAGGGATTTTTTTTAAAGGAACCTCCAGAAGTTCTTTTATTATACAGGATTTATTTTTTAAGATATATTTATTTAGTACATAATGTTCTGTCTGTATGTACACCTGCAGGCCAAAAGAAGGCACCAGATCTCATTGTGGCTCTGAGACACCATATGGTTGCTGGGAATTGAACTCAGGAGCTCTGGAAGAGCAGCCAGTGCTCTTAACCTCTGAGCCATCTCTCCAAACCCCTTACAAGATTGTTTTAGCTATTCTGGTTTTTTGTTTCTCCATATGACGCTGAGATTTGCTCTTCCAAGGTCTATAAAGAATTGTATTATAATTTTTGGTGGGAGTTGCATTGAATCTGTAGATTGCTTTTGGTAAGATGGCATTTTTTTTTACTATGTTAATTCTACTGATCCATAAGCATGGATGATCTTTCCATCTTCTGATATATTATCAAATTTCTTTCTCCAGAGACTTGAGATTCTTTTCATACAGGTCTTTCACTTGGTTGGTTAAAGTTACACCAAGATATTTTATATTATTTGTGGCTATTGTGAAGAGTGTTGTTTTCCTAATTTCTTTCTCAGCCCATTTATCATTTTTATACAGGGAGCTACTATTTTTTTTTAATTATTCTTGTAGCCAGTCACTTTGCTGAAGTTGTCAACCATCTGTAAGAGTTCCCTGGAAGAATTTTGGTGGTCACTTATGTATACTATCATATCATCTCTGAATAGTGTAGTGGTACTTTAACTTCTTCCTTTCCAATTTGCATCCCCTTTATTCCTTTGGTTGTCTCATTGATCTAGCTAGAATGTCAATAACTATACAGAATAGATTTGGAGAGTGTGAATAGCCTTGTCCTGGCCCTGACTTTAGTGGGATTACTTCAAGTTTTTCTATAGTTAATTTGATGTTGGCTATTGGATTGTTTTGTATTGCCTTTTTATTGTATTTAGGTATGCACCTTGTATCCCTGATTGCTTTAAGACTTCTAGCATGAAGGGATGTTGGATACTGGAGGCATTGCTTGGAGCTTCTTAGAGGCAACCTGCTGTGACTGCAATTTTTCCTGCCTCAGAGACTATCTTGTCCAAAAGCCTCTGCTCCACACTTCTTAATTTCTTCATTTCTCTAGGTCTATATTTTGTTACTTTCGTTCTTTAATCTCTCTTTGTCATGGGTTTTGTTTCTGTTTTTTTTTTTTTCTCATTTATTCTGTGCCTGTACCTATTTATTTACCTGTTTCCTCTCTTCATCTCTTTATCATTTTTGTTCTCTTTTGCATTCTCTCTTTCCCTTTTCCTCCCTCTTCTTCCCTCTCTTTCCCCCTCTTCATGTGTTCAGGTGTGTGTGTGTGTGTGTGTATGTGTGTGTGTGTGTATGTGTGTGTGTGTGTTTGTGTGTATATGTTTGTAGACATGTGAGAGTTTCTTTTATCTAGTCACTTGGAAGGCAAACCATCTCTCTTTGCTCTTTCTGCCAGAATCTGACAACCTGGATTACCGTCTGGGGGCTATTCACTCCCTAATATATAAGCTACCAGAAAAGAACCGGGAGATGCTGGAACTTCTTATCAGACACTTGGTAAAGTAAGTACTGCTGGGTTTTCAGAAAGAGTCTATGTTGAGGGCCTGGCTCACATGGTAGAACTAAAGAAAAACTAAAAAAAAAAAAAGCTTCTTAAATCATTGAGTACCATCCCCCAACTTTTTCTTGGGCTACCTGAGTCTTCTTGGAGGGAGGTCTATTTTGCTTTCACCTTTGCATATATCCTAGAGTCAGCAAGTCTCTGGACTGTCTTAGCTGAAAGGCAGTGGTAAGGTAGTATGTTGTACACCAGGACCAGACATGGACTTTACTGTCTGAGAAGCCTAGTTTTGGACCCCAGTTCCACGACTTACCTAGGTGTTTAATCTTAAGTATCTCTGATTCTCTGTGTGTTCTTCTCTATGATGACACTACTTAAGACTATTAAGTAGGAGTGTCATTGATTCAGAGGAACTTAGGAAAAACATGTGACATATAGTGAGCCCTGAAGAAGTGCAAAAACATTTTTTTTTTTTTGTCCAGGCACATTGTGTGTGACTGTCATCCTAGTATTTGGGAGGTTAGTCTAGAATGAGTGTCACTTTGAGGCCAACCTGGACAATTATGTAGTGAGACCATGCCAAAAGAAAGAAGAAAAAGAAGGGAGGAAGGTAGTAGTGGAAGGGTGAAGAAAGAAAGAGAAAGGAAGGGAAGGAAAAAAGAGGGTTGGACAGACAGATGGAAGGAGAGTGGCAAGAGAGAAATGGATAAGAGGAGAGGTGCTAGGATTCTGGTCAACCTCCTGGCCTGGGTGGTAGGCAGCAAGAGACATAGAAGGAGTACATGTTCGTTATGGTGATGCTTCATGGAAAAGATTCAACTTTGTGAACAAAGATTACTTTGCTTGGATCAAAACAAAGATAGAAAGCATGTTGATGAGAAGTTATCAAACTTGAGGTGCTTATTTTAGTTCTGTTGCTAGCCCATTTGATTGGTCTGCCTCTCTCAAGGCATCTTCCAGTATTTTAAGCAGTAATGTGTAAATAAGGTTAAATTATAATGCATCTTAAACATATATTTATTAAATAAACCTATCTACATACTTCCAGAATTCATCAATGTGATATTGAACCTTATCTGGAGAAGATATAAACACCCAAAATGCAGGTCTTTAGTGATAGTGGGAATCTAAGGCTAAGGACCCTTTTGGCTGCCCCTGTGATATTTCTTGAGCATTATGCCTATCTGGACCTCAGGTATTCCTATAATGTGAGGTATCTTCAGAAATCTCATTTACCTTGTACTTTTTAAGATTTTTTTATGTTTCTACAGAAAACAGATATTAAAGATGCTGATATAGAAAATAAGCAGGATAACAAGAAGTAAATTTTGGTTTATGTTGAGGCATGCATCTCAGGCCAATAAAGAATATTAAGAGACATGTTCTTTCCAAAATTTACTTTGATGTTACCTTAGTAAAATTTCAAAAATCAACAAAAAATTATTTGCACATGGATTTGAAATTAATTTATACTTTCTAGGAAAGCAACTTTGTATTCAATTTCTAGGTCTAACTCTAAGTTGTTATATGACCTAATTTAAGTCCTGCCACTCTTTGGCCCTCAGTTTGTTAATGTAGAATTGGAAGGACCTGAATCAACTATTTTCAAGGCAGTCTTTCACCTGTGACTTTCTGACAATCTAATGAGCCCAAGGACTTATTTAGATAATGTATCTGAAGGTAGTGAGTGATGGGGTATCTGCCTCCATCTTCCCATAAACCTGATTTACTTCAGTATTCCTGGTCTTCAAAACTGTTGAAACCAAAAGAGACACATATAGAAGGATCATAGAAATACAAAGATTTAAATGTGTTGAAATTTAATACTCAATTTCACCATAGTGCTAAAATATAAAGTAAAAATCTACTGAGCTCCCTATTCATTGAAAATTTTCAGTACACCATTTCTTTTTATGGCAGATATACCTCAATAAAGTTATGAAAGTTATAAACACATAGGGAAAAGTATTGATAACATGGAGGAGATAGAGACAGGAATTACATTTCTCTAAATCACCTCCTGATATAATTTTTACTTCCACTCAATACTAATTTGTGTAAATCCAAAAATATTATTAAAACAAAGTAAGTTTTAGGAACCCTAACACAGAACACTGAAAAACCAGATAAATGTTTATCAACTTGATAAAAGAAGAACACGGAGAAAGAAACTATTTCAACTAAGTTGTCAGCACATACTTCTGACTCATTCTTAATGAGACGGCCTTGAAAAACAAAAAGAGCCACAAAGAAATTTTAAGCGTCCAATAGTTTTTTTTTAGTAGTTATATAAGTATGATTTAAATGCATGCATATTTTACAAGGAAGGAAAAAATATATATGCATATATATTTGTATGTGATTATACACTAACATAAGCTAAGATTGATCACATAAAAAGAGAACTGGATACAAAGTTAGAGATGAAAAGCAGAGTTTTGCCATATTAAAAGTAAAGAAGTCTATGAATTTACTATTCAAAGTAAAACAAAAACATCTTTTCCAACCTTGAAAGAATTCTTCCTTTAAAAAGTGAGTATACCTAGTGCCCAGTTCTTTGTTTCTAAATACTGTTCCCTTTTCAAGGGGCCCAAGTAGCTTAGAAAAGTGGCCATTTTAGATCTGGGGTTTGGAAACACCAGGTGAACCTGGAGTAAATTATACCAGGAAGAAATTTGCTTGATACTGATGACATTAATTATGTTTGGGAAATTTGGACATCAATAACACATTGCTAATAACACATTGAAGAAGCAGAAAGTCATGGGGGAGTTGGTAAAGAAAGAAAAGCTCTTTATTATAGAATAAGAGCAGATAACAAATGTGGAATCTGAGATTCCATTTCACATCCATCAGAATGGCTAAGATCAAAAACTCAAGTGACAACACTTGCTGGAGAGGATGTGGAGAAAGGGGAGCACTCCTCCATTGCTGGTGGGAGTGCAAATGTATAAAACCACTTTTGGAAATCAATCTGGTGCTTTCTCAGAAATTTAGGAATAGCACTACATCAGGATCCAGCTATAACCCTCTTGGGCCTATACCTTAAAGTTCCTCCACCAAACAACATGGACATTTTCTCACCTATGTTCATAACAGCTTTATTCATAATAGCCAGAATCTGAAAACAGCCTAGATGTCTCTCAAAAGAAGAATGGATACAGAAATTGTGGCACATTTATACAATGGGCTCTCATATTTATACTCCTCAAAGTCCCCAGAATTCAACTAATTCCACCTGGCACAGACCACGCTCTGCAGGAGACACTTAGCAGGTGTTGACAAACTGAAATCCCTAATTTGGAATTTTAACAAAAACATGTTTATACATCATAAACCAAAACATCCACAACAGGAGAAAGAAAGGAAGAAGGAGAGAAGAAGGAGATGGAGATTGTGAATATGAATATACCAGTTTAGCAGACTTTGTCCATCTTCCCCTCTTACTCCACATGTCCCAAGGCTATGGGATGTTGTTGACAACATTTAGAACATGTCTCTTCACCTAGTTAATACTCTATGGAAATGGCCTAACAGAAAAACTCAGAGCTGATCTTTACAATTCTAGGTGTTTTTCATTCCATCAGTTGGTACTCAAAATTATTCATCACAGTAACTATATTCAACACTTTTACATATGTTTGAAAACTTTTATAATCATATATTGTAGGAAATATAAATTTTAAAAAAGGGTTAGTACTCTTTAGAAAACATACATAGGGAAAAAGAAAATTTACAGGCTTTCAAAATGCATGTAATTATCCTGCTTGCCAATTATTGCTTTCACAGTGTATATGATGATTATATATGTGCCTTTTACATGCATAATAATAAAATAGGCTCCTTGCCTATTTTCTATGTTAATAATAGGCCAAAATAAGTAGACCTCTGCCAATTTGGAGTTTCCAGTTACCTGGTTTCTATTACTCAGAGATAAGAGAGATCACTAGCAGTCTTCTCTCTAGCAGTCTCACCATTAGTGCAGTAGTACAATGGAAGTAAATGGCATGACTAATTCTACCATTCATACATATGTTTATCAGTAAGCAGACACAAAGAGATTTGTACAGCTTGTTCTCTAAACGCCACAAAGTCCCATTTCTCTGTACTTTCAGATGCTTTGACAACATCTTGGGGCAAATGAGGAAATCCAGGAGTATAATGGGAGTCAGGCAATAAAATTCTTGATCTACTGGGGGGAGATATAAGACTCTTTCACAGTCTTGGGTATGTCCTGCCATTTGAAAGGTTCCAGGCTATTAGGTTTGCTGGATTCTTATTTTTGTAATAATACTTATGTTTTGTTTTTTTTTTCGGAAACAGTACTGTAGAAATTAGAAAGTACAGAAAAGCAAAACAAATATTATCTTAAATTATTCTAGTACTCTGTAATCATTACTGATAATATAACACATATTATTCTAAATGTTTTCTGCAAGTGTGTTTATATATAAACATAATTGTGTTTGTTAATAATATAAGATTATTGTGTTCTTCAGCTTCCCTCTCTATATTTTGAAGGCAGTCTCAGGTAATCGTGACAAACATGAATGCAGCTGAGGAAGGCTTAGGGACTCTTGGTCATCTTGCTCTTTCTCTTGAGTTCTGAGATTAAATGCCTGCACCACCATGCCTGACATCTTCTACTTACCTTGTTCTACAGTTTCTGCTTTTCCAGACTATATTTACATGTTCTTAGTTGACATTAAAAACTTCTCTATATTGGCAGTTTGATGGGAATTGCAATGAATTTGTAGACTGCTTTTGGCAGGATAGCTACTTTTACTGTTAATCCTACCAATCCATGAACATGGGAGATCTTTTCATCTTCTGATATCTTCTTCAATTTCTTTCTTCAGAGACTTGAAGTTGTTTTTTGTTTTGTTTTGTTTTTTTGTTTTTTGTTTTTTGTTTTTATTTTTGTTTTTTCAAACAGGTCTTTCACTTGCTTGGTTAGAGTCACCCCAAGGTACTTTATGTTATTAGTGGCTATTGTGAAGT